TTGGAGTTGAATTGAACTAAACTAAACTGAATAAAGCTGAAATGAATTGTTTATGAGAGAAGGAACTGAACTGAACTGATTGGAGCTGAACGGAACTGAATTGAATTGAACTAAAATTAATCTGAAAAGAACATGCCCTAAGTATTTATTACCTAGAAAAAGAAAATGAAAATGTTGACTTAACTAAAACCTAAAATTTATATTACCAATGTTAGTCTTCTTTAATTTTAAAAAATAAACAATAAAACTATTTCAATTACAAATCTAATTTAAGTAGGACCTATTCACATTTAATGAACTTTGGAGCTGAAATGAACTGAACTAGACAGAGCATACATACATAAATTTCGCTTTTAAATATCCCCAATTTAATATGGGCATATCCAAAAAAAAATATTTTTGTTAATTAGAACGATTGACAAAGATAAGATCCACTTGACCAAGACATAGATCATAGTGTATAAAATGTTTCTTATTTTGGGTATACCTAAGTTATATTTGAGCGTACCTAAAAAGAAGTGGTTCAATTTTTTTTATTTTTTTTTTTCTGTTTTTTAAATACAAAAGTTTAAGGTTATTTCAGATAATCACATCCGTTTTTAATATTCTTAACTAGATTTATTTCCACTCTATCTAACCAAGGTCTTATTATTAGTTTATCACGACGTACTCTTATTGAAATTGAAAGACCAATTTTAGATGCTAAAAAATAGTTATTCAGCCAAAACATTACCTATTACATAACGATCCTTGTTTAGATTAAGAAACTCCCTTATCCTAAATTTAATCTAGTTAGGGATCAAGAAAACATATACTTAAATGTACGTAGTACATAACAAACAACACAAATAGCGCGGTCCCACACAGCTACTAGTTAGTCCCAAATACAGCGCTACATACATGTTTGCTTTAAATTGAAGGACAATAATCGAAATTCATGTATACACACAAGCAATTTTGTCTATTAAGGCCTATTGTTTGCAACGGATTAATCTTGCATAGAGCAAATCTCACAATCCTATACAAAAAATTCGCTTTTAGGTATGGATCCCCAATTTAATTTTTGGTGTATCAAAATTGGAATATTATTAATTAGTCAATAAGGATGTTTGACAAAGATAAGACATGGATAAAACCTGGACTTGAATGTACCTAGTATGTAACAATAAGACATAGTTTAAACATATACTTGAATGTACACAGTACGTAGCAATAATTTTGGGCGTACTCAAAAGTTGATTTTTATTTGTTAATCAGAAAATTGACTATAATATATAAGACTTGATTAAAACATAGATCACGGTATATAAATTGTTCCCAATTTGGGTATACCTAAGTTATATGTGGACATACCTAAAACAAAGTGATTCAATAGTTTTTTACAAGATACAGAAGTATAAGGTTATTTCGGATAATCACATCCATTTTTAGCACTCTTGACTAGATTTGTTGCAACTCCATCAAATTTTAAATTAATTTAGGGATATGTGAAAATATATACTTGAAAGTTTGTCGTACGTAACAAAGAACAAAATTAGGCAGCCCCAAACGACTACTAGTTAATTCCAAAATAAATCGCTAAAGATTAGTTTGCTTTTAATCGAAGATAATTATTATTATAATTCATACCCATAAGTATCCTAACGATTTTGATTATTAGTCCAATTGTTCACAACGGATTACTCTTGCATAAAAAACTAATGACTCCTACAACATAAATAAATTTTCTTTTAGATATCCCCAATTTGAATTTTAGGCATACCAAAATTCGAATTTTATAATTAATCAATCAGGACGATTGACAAAGATAAAAATTGATTAACGATATATAAAATGTCCCCATTTTATATACCGTATAGATTACGATATATAAAATGTTCCTGTTTTGGGTTTACCTAAATTATATTTGGACGTACCTAAAACGAAGTGGTTCAACCCTTTTTTTAAATACAAGTTATAGAAATTTATGGTTATTTCTTATAATCATTTCCATTTTTAGTACTCTTGAATAAATTTATTGTCACTCTATCTAAACAAGATCTTATTCGCATAATCATGTTTCTTAGGGCCTGTTCAGTTTAGCATAATATTGGTTTAGTTCAGTTCAGCTCCAATCAGTTCAGCTTAGTTCAGCTCAGCTCCAATCAGTTCAGTTCAGCTCTTAGTTTCCTTCTCTCATAAAATATTCATTTTAGCTCTATTTAATTTAGTTTAGTTCAGTTCGGTTCAGCTCCAATCAGTTCAGTTCAGTTCAATTCAGCTCAGCTCTTAATTTCCTTCTCTCATAAAATATAAATTTCAACTCTATTTAGTTCAGTTCAATTTAATTCAGTTCGGTTCAGTTCAGCTCCAATCAGTTCAGTTCAGTTCAGTTCAGCTCTAATTAGTTCACTTCAGTTTAGTTCAACTCAGTTCAATTAATGTGAACAATCCCTTAATATTAAAGTAGAATCCCAAATTTAAATCCTGGAAATAGTTGCTTGCACAAAACATGCATTACCTTAAACACAACCCTGCCTTGTATAGATTGAGATTTTAAATTGGAATATTAAATTAAAATCATTATTTAATAAATGTGGCTAAAGGTAAAAGGAATGATGTTAGATTAATAAAATTATTTCGGATAATCAAAATAATGTTTTAGATTAATCTTATAAATTAACAAATTTTTATATATATATTTTTTGTTTCACCCGGTTCATCCTTTGGGCTAATTTGGATTCGGAGATCAATTCTGAGTGGTTAGATCACACTGTGAGGCCGGGGTTATTTTTCTCAATAAAAATACATTTTTACTTGCCTAAACAAGTATGACATTATTGACATAATTACTACATCTGTAACATATTAGTTACAACGTTATGTCTCAAAAATAATACTTAAAGTTGCAACTAATATGTAATGGAGGTAGTACAAATATATTTCAATTTTTATGTTAAATACACCAACTTGCATTGGTTAAAAAAAAATCAATTTTCATAATTATATGATCAATCCATTTTGCATGCACCCGGTGTATAGTATTTTTACTGTACATTGGACTGTTTGCACGTGCCACTCATTTACTAGGTTTTTTTTTTTAAAAAAAAAAAACAAAATCGCGAAATTTAATACCTCAAAATCAAAAAAACACAGAACAATAATGGAGGAGAGAGAAAGTGAGAAAACGCAGCTCTTGATCATCAACTAAGGAGAGAGAAAGTGAGAAAACGCAAAAATTGTAGAAATCGATCATCAATTGAGAAGAAAAAAGGTGAAAAAACGCACAAATTAAAAATTTCGATCATCAATTAAGGCAGAGAAAGTGAGAAAACTTACAAATTGCGGAGTTCGATCATCAGTTGAGAAGGGAGAAAGTGAGAAAACGCACAAATTGGAGAATTCGATCATCAATGGAAAATTCGACTTTCGATACCACAAATTGTAGCAATCTCATCCACGAATTGCTACAAAAACAGAGGCTAATTGAAACTGAATTTGAAATCGATTTAAATCGATCGATTATAGAAGAGAAGAAACTAAGAGTTTTGGAGATGAATTCGTACCAATATTCAACAATCCAAACAATGGAGACGATGCAGGAGAAGTAATTAACAATGCAGAAGAAGCAATTGAGAATGCAGAAAATCAAGTGGTTCCTGGCAAATCAATTGATTCAAATTCAGAACAAACAACCAAATCAAATGCAACTGAAGGTAATTTCTATAAACATTTCAGATTGTATGCAAAAAGTAACCCTTTGTATGCCTTAAAGTTACCATTTTCATGCATAAAAGTGACCCTATTTATGCACAAATGTTACCCTAATATTGTATGCAGAAAAGTAACCTTTTGTATACCTTAAAGTTACCCTTTTCATGCATAAAAGTGAACCTATTTATGCACAAATGTTACCCTAAAATTGTATGAAGAAAATTCAGATTGTATGCAAAAAGTAACCCTTTGTATGCCTTAATGTTACCCTTTTCATGCATAAAAGTGACCCTATTTTCGAACAAATGTTACCATTTTATTTCCTCTAAATTGAATGATATGCTGCCTCTGGTTATAATCTGATATATCTGTATTAAATCACATATACAAATCCAATTCATGCTTCTGATTTAGATCTTAGAGGTTCATTTTTTGGTGTGGTAAGAGAAACTTTTGAAGAAATTTTGGAATTGTATGAAAAACATGCTGCTATACTGGGGTTTTCAATATGAAAACATACAACTAGATACCAGACACACACAAAAATAATAACTGAGAAAAATTATGTGTGTTCTGCTGAAGGAAAGAGAAATTCAGGTTACAAAAAAACAAAGTTAGTTGAAATAATTAATGAAGAGGATGTGAATGTAAAAACAAGAAAGTTAAGACAAGTAGCCATTACAAGATCGAATTGCAAGGCATGCATAAGAGCAAAAGTGAATAAAGAAGGAAAGTTTGAGGTAGTGGCTCGTGTTATTCAGCATAACCATGAGCTAACAAGGTCACAGTGGCATTATTTGCATCGTTCTGAAAGAAAAATGACAGAAGAAAAAGCTGAAGCAATAAAAACAATGAAATCTTCAGGTCTAACTACAATGGACACTTACAATTACATGGCTACAGAGGCCGGAGGAGAACAGAATGTAGGTCATAGTGCTGTTGATCACCTGAATTTTTGCTCAAGGTTAAGAATGGAACAAATTGAGGCTGGAGATGCTCAAACTTTAGTGAACATTTTAAATCAAGAACAATCAAAGGATCCAAACTTCTTTTTTAGAGTGAAGTTTGACAAGGAAGGAAGAATTTCCAATATCTTTCGGAGAGATTCAATGATGCTAGAAGACTATAGGATATAAAGAAATGTGCTTGTCTTTGATACAACATACAGAACCAACAGATATAATCTTATATGTGCTCCATTTGTTGGAATAAATAATCACTGGCATAATTGTATATTTGCATGTGCTTTTATTGGGGATGAAAAAAAAGATTCATTTGTGTGGCTACTAGAAACATTCTTGAAAGCTATGGAGAATAGAACACCAACTTCAATATTCACTGATCAGGACCAAGCAATGGCAAATGCAATTGAGCAGGTAAAACATTTATATTTACATTTTACAGATTTTAAACTCTAACAATAATGTTTTCCTTTTTCCCATAAAGTTACCCTTTCAACTGCATAAAGTTACCCTTTTAACAGCATAAAGTGACCCTTTTAACAACATAAAATGACCCTTTTAACAGCATAAAGTGACCCCTTTATTTTCAATGTAGGTGCTTCTTAATACAAGGCATAGACTTTGTATCTGGCATTTGGAACAAAATGCCATAACCAGATTTGGAGCTCTTAAAAAAGACAAAGAATTCAAGTATGCATCCAACCAGTGCTTAAAGATGTGTGTGACAGAACAAGAATTTGAAGCAAAATGGCAAGCAATGATGCAGAAATATGAGTTGACAACACACTCTTGGTACCAATGAGTGTACGAGTTGAAAGAGAAATGGTGTCCTACCCTTAGTAGAGATTTCTTTTCAGTAGGAATCTTATCGTCACAAAGGAGTGAAAACACTAATCATGCAATAGGATTCAGAGCAAGTAAAGCAACTACCTTGACAAAATTTAATACCATATTTAAGAAAACAATAAATCGTTGGAGAAGCATAGAGAAATATGATGAGTTTACTTGTAGCAAGTTAATAGCATTCACTTCATTGCCACTGTCAGGAATGCTAAAACATGCTGCACAGGTAAAAAGTTAACTGATAAGTACATAAATTACACATAAATTATAGCAGTATAACTGTAGCTAAATGATTTTGGTGACCAGGTTTTCACTTTGTCACTCTTTAGAGATTTTGAAGAGGAGTTTGGATATTCTATGGCAACAACTGTTCAAATGATAGGAAGAAATGAAGAATGTCTACTTTATCAGGTAGCCCTGGAAGACAAGCCATGGTCTGCACATCAAGTAAACTATATACATGAGAGCCATAATGTATGGTGTACTTGCAAAAATTTTGAGGCATCTGGATGGTTATGTTATCATTGCATCAGAATTCTACACTTGCATTCAGTAACAAGAATACCAGACAAGTATGTTTCAAAAAGATGGACTAAGTTTGCAAAAACAGAGGCATGGGATAGGTTGAAGAATCAGGATCCTACACATCAATATATTCCATGGAGACAAACAATGATAAGGAAATACTACAATCTAATCTTAAAGAGTCAAGAAAATGAAGAAACAAGAGAATTTATGGAAGAAAGTTTCACAAAACAGTCTTAAAATGGTGGAAGACTTACTTGCTAGTGTTGCCCAGAGAGAAAGTGCAGAAGATGCTTCTAATATTCCTGATGTGGCAGACAACAATCACAGCAATGATGATGTTTCTTCGGCATCGAGTACAAGCACAAGTGTACCAACAATACTTGATCCACAAAGGGCTGTAACAAAAGGAAGAAGCAAGAGAGCAAAAGGAGGTCTTGAAAAAAGAAAGAGAAAAAGAAAACCAACACTGCCACCTCCACATTCAGAATTTGGATCTAAAACACCTAATGTGAGACTTTTTTAGGAACTTTTTTAGATCATTTTTTTTCAAAATTGATGTACTTTATATTCTAAAACTATATATTTTTTTTACTATGTGACTAGTTTAATGAATATGTGATTGAAACTATTATTAGAATATCTTTATTTAGTTAAACGTTTAAATTAAGAGTGACCCTTTTAACAAAAAAAATGAACCTTTTCCAAGCAAAAAGTGACCCTTTTAATTTACAGATTAAAGTGACCCTTTTCACATAATAAACCATTTACATAAAAGTGAACCTTTTCATGAATAGAAGTGATCCTTTTTCTACATAAAAGTGACCCTTTTCATAGCTAAAGTTACCCTTTTTAACAATAAAATCTACCTTTTTCTTGCTTAAAAGTTACCCTTTCTATAAATAAAGTTACCCTTTTTCTGCATAAAAGTTACCCCATAAAAAACATAAAAATAAACCTTTTAATTACTTTATGTATGCACATACATCAGTATTCCAAAAAAACAACCAAAGACTTTACACTAAGTTTAATTACATCATTGAACTTAATGTATGCACATACATTAAGTTTTTTCATAGTTCAAAAAAAACCCCTGACCTAATCAGCTAATAACCATCAATTATTCACTATTTAGAAGGAGTATACTTTTTTGCCTGCTTTTTTGCTCTTTTTCCTTTGGTCTTTTCTTCTTCTGCCTCTGCTTTTGCTGCTGCTTCTGCTGCCATTTTTCTTTCTTTTGTTTCTCTCTTCTTCTTCTCAGCAATTGCAGCCTTTAATCTTTCTTCAACTCCATTGACATAAGCAGGATCTTTCTTCTTCTCGTTGAACTTGGGTAATTCTGACAACACATCATTCCTAGATTCATTCAAATCACACAGCACCAGTGTGGTACAGATCTCTCCTCGTAGAAATTTCCTTCCAATAGTCTCACAACAAGAAAAAAAATTATCAATATGTAATTAATAAAAGCATTAGAAAGGAATAAACTACAGAAACTATATAGATAATTATTGTTTTGAGTTCATTTAATTTGAACGATTCGCCAACAAAATGGAGCATGTGATACATGACAAAGACCCCACAGTCCAAATTGTCAACCTTTTCTTTTCTCCGATCCAACTCAACAACTTCAAAACCATAAGAAGGTAGCTGAGAACTCTTTGGATGATTTTTTTTTTGCCAAGAAAAGCACCCATTTGAACACACTGACATAAAATATAAAAGTTTAGAATACATTAAAATCAAAAAAGTTAAAATGAAACAATGAATCAACAGAAACATAACAAATAATAAACACAAACATACCATGTTTGAACACAATTCTTTTGTATAAACAAGAGCAGAATCACTCCAGATAACGTTGTCAAGATAATATACCAACTCTTTTGTATGATCAATAACATACAAAATGTAGTGATTCTCAATAAGAACAGGAAAATAGATCTGAAACAACAAAATTAAAAGAGATTTAGAAAGAGTGAGCATATCATAAACAGATCTCTTTAAAATTTATGACATTAAGTTTAGCATAATATACCAGATCAACATCCATTATATCACATTCTGGATTCTCATAGCTAACCCAACCTTCTCATAGATCGTGCAAATCCTTAACAGCACTAGAAATGCTACCTTTGCCAATATTGTCACAAACATGCAAGAATGCAAACAATTAAAGTATAAGATCTCAATAATATATATATATAAAGTAAATATGTTAAAATATATAAAAAAAGAATGAAATAACTTACACTCTGCCTAACACCAAAGAAGAATTTTCGAGGACCAGTAGCCTCAAAACATGCTTTCTCATTCAAATACAGACAGTAGCAATCAATAATGCACCATCGAATCTTGAGTGGAGCAACAAGGGACACCATGTCTTCTCTTGGAATTAAAAAGTTCATTCCAAAAGTAACAAGGCTGTCACTGAAACAATAAAAAATAAGATCAGCATTAAAAAAAATATAAGAAAAAACAGATAAAAAAATAATTATCATAAAAATGACACTTAACTTCCTATTCATTGAAACATCCTTCAGCAAACAATAATCGAGAATTTCCAAATGTAACTGAGGCAAATTCCTGAAAAACCGAGCATTGCTCTTCAAAAACAGAGTTACAAAAGGCACCTGCACACCTTCTGGTCCACAGTCCGGAGAGCATAGAGATTTATTTGCTCTGATGATACGTCGAGCAGGTTCATTTTGATCAATATGCCCAACAGGAATATTTTCAGTAGGACTAGGAATGATAGCAGAAGGTCCAGAACCATTAAGACCTTCATTAACTATTTTTCCATGACCATTGTCATCATCCTTAGGAATATTTTCATTGAAACCTTGTGCAGGTTCTTTTTCAGGAACAACATCTTTATTACCTTCTGTAGGTTCATAAAAACTGCGAAACAAATCATGTACAGACTTCATTTTATTACACTCATCAACTAAACCATCTAAAATCTTCAGATAATGAGGATCAGAGAGTAGCTGTTCAGTTTGAGAAACTGAAACAGAATCATCAGAAGATAATGAAACACTTCTGCGAGAAGTAATCAGATCATTCAAGGTTTGAAAACCAGTTGACTAAACAAATAATAAAACATCCATATTTCTTTTAAACAAAAGAAATGTTTCATGAACAACCTACAAACATATGAACAAAGAAAAATAAATAAATGTTACAAATAAAAATAATAAAATAAGTAAAAATTCAAAATATATGATTAAAGTGACCCTTTTAAATGCATAAAGTAACCCTTTTAAATGCTTAAAGTTACCCTTTTATATGCATAAAGTAACCTTTTTAACGTAATATTTAGGATAACTTTAATGCATATAAAGGGTAACTTTGGTGCAAATAAAGGGTAACTTTTGTACAAAAAAAGGGTAACTTTTGTGCCATAAAGCAATAATAACTAAACATATAAGAACACAGAACACTTACATCAGTTGAAATTTATTTAATTTCTTCATCAGTCATAATACCTTCTAGAAGCTCAAATGCAACAATGCGGCCGGTGGTACCACTTGTAGAAGCACCCTTATCATAACCCAAAGTAGGAGCTGGCTTAAAAACAGTTTCCCTAAAATTAAGCTGTGACACGGGATATGTAAAAGTATCCAACGGTCCCTGCCCATACCACCAGCTTTGATCTCTAACTTAATCCGCTTCTTAATCTTTACATCCGTCCAATGTTGAATAAAAGAAAGAGTACTACTTTCCTTTTCACCTTGAAAATTTAGACGATGAAAATACATAATTTGCAAAGCCGGCAAACAACTGTTAATATTTTGAGCAGTTTCATCATCCTTATACTTCTGAACAGCCTTCTTTAACTTTTTCAAAACATATGAACACCAATCAAAAGTTTTAATTTCATCAACTTTTTTAACAGCTTTCAGCAACTTTAATGAAACAGTCCTATTAGTAGTAGGAGCTAAAAAGCTAGACATAGCTTGAAGAACAAAACACCTCTTAAATTCTTCCCCTCCATCAACCAAATCAATCATCCGAGACTTCAATTTTGACAAATGAAGTGGTTGCTTACCAGAAAGACCATAATCAGATCTCCATGCCTGAATGATACGTTTATCTATACTTTCATCTTCAGAATTTTTATTAAGTTTAGGAACACAAATATCACTCAAAGGCAAGCAAAACACATCGCATATATCATTTCTAGTAACAACAAATTCTTTACCAGTAGCGATGGTAAACATGCAGCTACCACCATTGAAGTTTTCAACAAGCCAAGGTAGCATTTGACGATTAAGAGTTTTCAATTTCAGATGTAATAAACCTCCAAAACCAATTTCTTCAACAGCCTGTTTTTGCTCAGGACTAAAGTTCTGCAACAAAATTTCCAATGAATAGGGTCTACACCTTGCAATCAAGCTTCTTTGCTCCCTAAATAATAAAAAAAAATGTAACTGAAACAATATAAACTAAAAACAAAATATAATTAAAAAATGTAAAAAAAAAAAACTATGTATACTTACACAAAAGATTCAGAATTAGAATCAGAATCAGAAAGCATTTCATAATCAGAATCTTCCACTGTTTTAGCTTTCTTAGGTACAATTTTGGCCTTCTTAGGAACTATTTTGGCCTTCTCAGACTCTGGTTTGTCATTCTTAGAAATAATTAAGCCCTTCTCAGGAATTGTCACAGCCTTTTTAGGTACTGCTTTGCTCTTCTCAAGAACTATCTGGGTCTTTTTTGGTATTTCTTAAGCCTTAGCAGGCTCTTTAGGCTTTCCTTTTTCTTTTGTAGGCATTTTATAACGATAACCACCTATTGAACCACCTGTATCTAATTATTACAGAGAAATAACAAAAATTACAAATTTAGAAATTACTCATGGAAAAATTTAGAATAATGTGTATAAATGACCCTTTTAAATGCATAAAGTGGCCCTTTTAACAGCACAAAGTGACCCTTTTAACAGCATAAAGTGACCCTTTTAACAACATAAAGTGACCCTTTTAACAAAACAAAGAAAACCTTTTAACAGCACAAAGTGATCCTTTTAACAGCAAAAAGTGACCCTTTTATATGCATAAAGTGACCCTTTTAACAGCATAAAGTGACCCTTTTAAACACAACAAGTAACCCTTTTAACTGAAAAAGTTACTCATGTAACAACATATAGTGACCCTTTTAACAGCATAAAGTCACCCTTTTAACATCATAAAGTGAACATTGTCAAAGCATATAAATGACACATATGTCTACTA